ATTTAAAATGTGTAAGTAAACATCCACTAAGTAAAATGACTGATAGAAGAGGCAAGGAGCAGCAAGATCCAGGACTTTGCTCTCAAGACTCTTGGGCCCTGGGGCCCCTGATTCCTGACCCTGACCAGGGTACTAGGGTGAGGATGGATTTTCTTCTAGCTGACCTCCCCTCCTTGTGACTTTGGGTTCAACTTTGTGTTAAGTCAGAAAGCACTCGCTCTCAGCTTGCCTGCTTCCCAAACTACCCTGACCTCTCTAGCCTGTCGTTGTCTCTTTTCTTGGCCCTTTTATCCTTGTCATTTAATGCCTTTTAAGAAATTACCGTCCTTCGAGTGGGATTTCAGGTGAGAGCAGAAACTCATTTCACCTCTTTTGTTTAAGCAAAGTCTCATGATTCTTGCCCTGATCATGGGAGGAAGAGAGGCTGAGCTGCCGGGGGACAAGAAGGTGCCTGAGACCACAGCTGTTATGTGCTTATGCTCACATTTGAACCCCAGGCCCAAAACTCTGTGATACCGATGCCACTGAGCTAGACCTCCCGAAGCTGGTCTTCTATCTCAGCCTTAGAGCTGTGCTTCTGTTCTTTCTACAGATGGTTTCTAGCCCTTAATGTTATTTGTCCATGAAACAAAAGGAGCTCCATCTGGATACCAGGATTGGGGATGCAAAGATACATCCCTGCTTAGAAACCACAGTCAGATCACCCAGGGGATCTTCTTGCCCCACTTTTTTTTTTTTCTTTTTTTTTATTTGAGAGAGAGAGAGAATGAGAGACAGAGAGCACGAGAGGGAAGAGGGTCAGAGGGAGAAGCAGACTCCCTGCTGAGCAGGGAGCCCGATGTGGGACTCGATCCCGGGACTCCAGGATCATGACCTGAGCCGAAGGCAGTCGCTTAACCCACTGAGCCACCCAGGCGCCCCTTCCCCCACTTTTATGGTACGAATGTGTCCCCCCAGTTTCATAGGTTGAAATCCAAACCTCCAAGGGTGATAGTATTAGAAGGGGCCTTTGGGAGGTGCTTAGGGAATGAGGGTGGAGCTTTCATGTTTGGGATGAATGCCCTTATAAAAGAAGCCCCGGAGAGATCTCTAGCCCCTTCCACCCTGTGAGGACACAACGAGAAGGCAGCTGCTGTGACCCAGGAAGGGGCCCTCACCAGAAGGTGACCATACTGGGGCCTTGATCTTAGACTTGCAGCCTCCAGAACTGTGAGCAGTAACTTTCTGTTGTTTATGAACTACCTCAGTGGTGGTATTTTGTTATAGCAGCCTGAATGGACAAAGACACCTATCCAGGGGAGGAAAAGTGCCACTCAGGGAGGCTTGGAATCCTTACTTTCTCTGCCAGCCAGCTCAGCGGGACTGTTCACCCCACACTTCATTTCTGTCAGCGAAGCCTCTAAGATTTAGGTGAAGTCACCATAATCAACTAAAGGTATCGATAAACTTCAGCCTAATTTAAAATGTGTAAGTAAACATCCACTAAGTAAAATGACTGATAGAAGAGGCAAGGAGCAGCAAGATCCAGGACTTTGCTCTCAAGACTCTTGGATCTGAAGGATGGTCCAGATGAAGCTATTTTTGCTCGTGTAATGACAGAACGTGGGTGCCGAACGT